GGTGGAGTCCCCATCCCTGGAGGTATTTAAAAGACGTGTAGATGTGGCACTTAGGGACATGGTTTAGTGGTGGATTTGCAGTGCTAGGTTAATGGTTGGACTTGATGATCTTAAAGGTCTTTTCCAACCTAAATGATTCTGTTAGTTTGACTACACCGAGTCCAGCTGGTCCCATAACTTTAAGAAGAGAAATAGTCACAAAGTCTGTAATTGTTTGAAGGATGCAGACCAGTAGATGTGACTGATGATGCAATGTGTATTCACATCATTTGTGAACAGAAATGAAAGGGCTTGGTAAAGAATGCAGTCAGCACAAGAAACAAGCCAGTTGTTCACATAAATTGTGTCCATGTGCTCATGTGCTTCTCTGCCATCAATCTTTATGCCATATGTTGGGGAATGTGTCTTTTCTCTGTTGATGTTCCCTGCTCCCGCTCCCCGGCTAGCAGCGGGACTTCGCCGTTCCCTAGCGAGCGCAGATGAAGCCGGGGGAGCGGGCAGGGACCCCAGTGGCAGCTGGCTCATGTGCGGGGGGTTGCGCAGGGGGGCTCGGGGCTGCACACACCTCCGGCTCCGCGGGCACCAGCATCCTCCCGCGCACACCAACGTCAGCATCCACCTTCTGTCAAATCACTTTTCTGACGTGATGTTCCCGAGTTATCAGTCTGACACATATATTCTGTATATAGCATTGGCAGCCTGAGACCGTACAGTGACTACCTGAATAAATAAGGTTTGGCGTGCTGGAGTAGTACCTACGGAAAGGCACTAAATCACGTCACTTTTACACAGCACTGCTAGGGGAGCGAGCGGGATGCGCTATTCTAGGGTTTGGTACAGGGGCTGCAGTCGTTACCAAACTTACCTCAAAGCTATATTCCCATTTACCAGCATACTGACGGAAGGGAAAAAAAAAAGGAAATTGGAGTCAAACAGTGACTCAAGAAACATTTTTTGTGAAGACCCTCATCTCTCCGTGAATGCAAATTCAACAGCTTTGTACAGACACCGTGTTTAGTGACAAATAACAGTAAGTACGCAAGATCAAATCCTGACATCATTATTCATGCATGAGGAAATGAAACTATTTTCTATCAGATGTGACATATGTACAGCATTTTTTTTTTCCTGAGATCGTTCGCGTGTGTTACATGTCGTAAGACTTCACCACACTGTACCTACTGAAATTTGGCTGGATGTCACTGGGCGACACAACGGGAGTCACCAGGTACATGGGCACACACCTGGACACGCTCCGCACAGCTTTCAACCTCAACCCGACGGATCTGTTTGGCAGCCAAACACCAGCTGTACGTACCTCCTGCACAAACACCTCCACCAAGACCAGTGCCCCAGTACAGGGGGGAAACAAACCACCAACTATTTAACAAAATTGGAAAAACGGGTTTCCTTAGACGAGCAAGATCACACGCTGAGGGAGCAACTCTGGCTCCAGCCCATCGTAACTCCCAGGTCTCTTTCTGCTGATCCACCGCCTCGTTTCCCACCCCCATTCCAAAGCAAACAGCATTTATGCATTATAAATATGTTATAAACCACATGCTGATAGGAAGCCTTTGAAAGCTGGGAAATTCTAACTTGGCACGTCCCATCGATACAGCTGATTTATAGAGCTGCCCTTGCAACGTAATGGGCAGCTTGGGAAAGGGCCAGGAATCTTAATATGCTGTTCAAGAAGTAGGAAAGAAAAGCATTAAAATTCAATAATGGAAGGCAATGGATTAAAAAAAAAAAAAAAAAAGGAGACGAAAAAACAACAGAATTTCCTGTCAAGATGTAAAAACATTCAGGAAAAAAAAGTTTAAAAATGCTGTAAACTACTACCACCTGAAGTGTTAAAAGCCATTTTGCGTTAGAAATGGAGAGAGCGGCACAGGCTCGGGTACCCTTCCTGGAAATAGCTCGTTCCGGTGATCCGCAGGCTGAAGCTCGTCGCTGTTGTTGCTCCTGGTGACAGCAGGTTTCTTTATTTACTGTTCCCTTAAATCCAGACTACACCATTAACATTTTGTGCATATAAGGGCTTCTTTTTAGACTATATAAATTTTAATATCAATATTTGGCTTCTTTTTTTCTTCTACAGGTAATACCTAAAGTAATTTATCCCATTGGGTTAAGAAAAAGATGCAGCTCAGTAAAAACTGCCTTAGGAAAGCTATAGGAAACAGCAATGGAATAAAAGGTTTAGGGAACCCTGCGCGACCCGTGGGGCCAGACCTGGCACCCCCAGAGCCACAGCCAGCGCGTGGCAGGCTTCAGTCAGACTGAAAAACAGAATTATGGAACAACAACAAAAAAATCACGTCCTGATTGCAAATGATTTTGTTTCAACATGGACTTCCATTTCATGTAGATATTAAAAAAGAATGCTTTATTTGATTCTTTTAATTTGGGGCTTTGCAAAAAAAAAAAAAAAAAAAAAATTCAACTTGCTTTTGAAGCTTGATGTAAAATATTCTCCATATTGCAAATTAAATAAGCAAGTAACGGGTTATTCACACAAAGTTACTTGAATAGCTTTCCTTCTTACACCAACTCTCTCAATTAGCAAATTATTATTTTATAATAATAATACCGTCACTCGGATCGGATATTGCCGAGTTGCCACCACAGCCATGGCACATCCATCCTGCCTACAGCTGTGAGCAACTCACCCGAAATCTTACGCTGTGATTTAACGGAAACGGCTCACAGCAGTAAAGCGGCACTTGTGCCAAGTACCC